GGGATTGAGAACGGGGTGGGGAGGCGGGACAGCAGAGAGGGGAAGGAATGGGGTGGGGGTAGAGAGAAGTTGTAGGTTGAAGGCAGGCATTAGGAGATCTCTGCTGGCAGCTCGGGCTGGTCCATCGGAAAGGTCCGTTGCCGGGAGAAGCGCTTCCTCTCCAGGGGCCGATTCAGGCAACGGCCAGGCTGGCCTTGCACAACCGCCGCCCAGGCAAAGGGGAGTCACACAGACTTGCCAGCGGTCCCCGGATCCTGGCCACGGCCCCACCTGACGCGCCTCACCCGCCTCCCTCCCGACTGGCTTCAGTGCCTCAGCCCCATCCTGCACGGGTGCTGCTTCGTGGAAATGGAAACATGGACACAGCGCGAGTCAGAAGGGGCCTCCTGGGCCATCTAGTCTGACCCCCGGCTCCAGCTGGCTCCGCTCACAATATGCCTGTAAGATATAAAAATTTATATCCAATAGAATCCAAGCAGTGACAATAGGGTTGGCAAAGTATCAAGCTGAGAAGTTTAATTCGTTCTTGCAAGAGTGAGCGCCCACCACACAGGAAGTGCACCGTTCCCACAAAAGACATTGCCTTTTATTTCCCTTTCCCGGCTCGCAGACCCTTCCTCTTTTCCCCCATTGGCTGGGCTACTCCGAGGGTACAATCTTCTCCGTCCGCCTACAACATACGACCCCTTGATATGACCCCCCCCTTGAACATACATCCCATCTTCATGCTAATGAGCGCATTATCTATGAGAGGTGTGCCAGGTACTATTCATGCACTTATGAAGCCCATGCGCTATTTTCTAAAAGTTCAACAAGTCAGCGTGGCCTTGAGAATTCTTGGCGCCCAAACGTTTCTTAAATCTTGTGGGGAGGATGAGACAATGAGAACAGGCCTTTCTCCAGGCTCTTTATCGCCAGTTGTATAGTAATCAATTCCCTGCTCTCCTCCACTGAAAGGGACAGTTTTACCACTGTCCCCCAATTTTACCCTTTCTGGTATTTTTCGGGACTTTTGATGTAGGAAACATTATCACTCTTAGAACAACCATTTACATGTTTTGATTCTCAGGCTTTTTGGCCTTAAGAGACTTCAAGTATCCTGTCCTATTCCTGTTTTTCGCCCTTAACACTTAGTAACAGTAACATTTCATTTCTCACAATGCCCACCATGGGCATGTCCAGCCTATCCTTGAACACCCTCACCGATGGGGCCTCAACCCCCTCCTGTTGGTGGCGGTTATATACCCCAGTTGTGGGCGCACCAGAGTCGTGTAGAGCGGCAGTAATACCTCTCTCGATCTGGAAGCCATGCTTCTGGCTATGCAACCACGGGTGGCGTTCGCCCTCTTGACCACCGCGTCACACGGCTGGCTCACGTTTCACCTGCAGTCGACCAGCACCCCGAGGTCCGTTTCACAAGTGCTGCTCTCCAGCCACTTGGCCCCTAACCTGCATTTATGAAGCCTGGCTGGGGAACGTGCACAGGAGGGTCTGTTGCACCCCACCCTCCCCGTGAGTTGACTGTGGGCAGCTGCTGGGACTGTGCCCGCCAAGGTGGCCTGATCCGGCACGGTCCTCCCAGCTTGCTTACACCTCGTCTCTCTTGCTCCCCCAGCTGAACCGCGTCACTCGCTGGCGCAACTTTCTTCGTAGGGCAGGTTCGTTGATCGTGCGGCTCCCTATGCTGATCGGATAGAAATCTCTGGAGCGAAGGGCCGCTCCGGTGCTCCCCGCTGCGTGATGCTGACTGCCACAGCCACGCCGCCATGGCTCCCGGAGTCTGGTCCTGCTTCTCGAAGCGGCTTCGCTTTCTCCGCTTGACCACGGTTGTCGTCCATCTTTATTTCAGAATAAAATGATGCGCCCCCAAACCTCCTGCGATGCCTCCCCTGCCCGGCGGTTCAACCTTTGCCGGCGCTTCCCAGAAAGGGTGGGGGGCCGCGTTCCGGAGGCGTCTGCTCAGCGCACCGCAGGGCCGAGGGCCGTCCAGGGCGCGTGCGTCAGGGAGCAGAGGCCCCGTGCGACCGTCCCATCGCAGGGCAGCCCTGGCCCCCCGGCGCCTCGCTCGAGCAGCCCCCCAGCTCGATCCGCAGCACCGCCGGGGGAAGCGGGTCGGGCTCCGCAGTGCTGTGGCAGACCGGCATGTCGCCCCGCTTGTGGCGGCCCCCGTGGCCAGCTCACCCGGCCCTTCCCATGCTCCCCAGGCGCCAAGCCACATGGGCGTCACTGGCCCTGAAGCTCAACAGAAGTCGCTTGGGTATGTTGGGGTGCAGCTCCCTTCCGGGTTTTTAGTAGGAATGGGCGGAATCGGCTGCCTATTAGCCCCCCTCCCCTTCTTGGGAAGCCCCCGCTGTGTCCTGGGAACAGAAATATCAAACCTTTGCATCGATTAAGTGCAGATCTGGTTCTATTGGTCATGTACATGATAAACATCCCTCCAAGAAACAGCTCCAGGGCATGGCAAGAGTGCATTCATCGCATCGCCTTGTCTGGTTGGTTGGCCTCCCGTCATCTTCCTCTTGGAAGGAACTCAAGGCAGTTTACAGACTCCTCCTCCATTTTTGTCCTCACAACAACCCTGTGAGGTAGGCCAGTCTGAGTCAGAGATTTGTCCCAACCCCCCCTCCCCCCAAGTGGGCCTTGCTTGCAAGCAGGGACTAGAGGCCGGATCTCCCAGGTGCCCATCCAACACGGTCTCCTCGACCCCCCCCGCTCACCTTTCCTGTGGCATTCCGGGAGGGTGGGATTCCCCTGGTCGCCCCTCCTTTGTCACAGGGGGTTGTGTGCCTCAGCAGCCAGCCTATGCGAACTCGCCCAGATGTGGGTCCCACGGAAGGAACTGGGCCTCACTGCCATGCAAACACGTAGCAGGTTGCCGGGCGGAATCACGAGGAGGTCGCTTGGCCAAAGGAGGGGCCGAGACGCCGCGGGCGCGCGGGTCTGGGGTCAGGGAAGGTGTTTCCGGCTGCAGTGACGCCCCAGTGGGGATGCTCTGCCCATGCTCAGGCACGTGAGCCGAGGGCACGCCGGCCGGCCTGAGCAGCTGGCCGGGGCCGCCACGAAGCGGGCGCCGTCGGAGGCCTGGCAAAGGGAACGGAGCCGCCGGGAAAAGCGAGGGCCGAGGGGAAGTGGCCTGCGCCCAGGCCAGTGGCTCCGCACGCGCAGGCCGGGGGCCGGCTCTGGGACGAACGGGGCCGACCCCGACAGGTGGGGCGCCACGACCGGGGTGGTGGAGGTGGGTAGAGGTCCCGGCGGGGCGCAGGAGGGCCAGGCAGGGCCCGGGGCAGGCGGGAATCGAGGGACGGGGTGGAGGCGGAGGAGGCCGGGTCAGGCCTGCACAGCAGCCCCCGCAACGGTGCGCGCTACTGCGGCGGAACGGGTTGCCCTTCCCGTGGCATCCCTCCATTTCCCGTGGTTGCCGCAGTTCTACTGGCCGCCGCTGGCCTGACACGGGTCCCGGGAGCCCTGGCCAGGTGAAGCGGGCTGCCTGCTCGCTCAGGCCTCCAGGGGGCGCCATGCTGGCCCACGGATCGCAACACCACAGGTAGCCACACACCTGCCCCGCCACTGTGGGTTGTCGCGCCACAGCCGCCGACCACGGCCTTGTCAGAGAAGCCACCCGGATGGCCTTCGACCTGGGGACCCAGGGTGGGTTGGAGTGCCGTGTGAACCCAGCGGGCGTGTGGCCACCTCCCCTCGCCGTTCTTGCCAAGCAGCTAGTGGGCCACTGCCATTGCTGGCACCCAAAAGTGCCCCAGCGGCACTGGGGGGGCTGGCAGGGGGCTGATAATTTACACCTGGGCAGGAACACATACGGGCACCTGGCATCCACACCTGCATCCTCCCAGGGGACATGCGGGTGCCTGCATAATTTCCTTTCTATCCCACCCCGCAGCCCACATTTTAACTCCTTAGAAATCCTGCCTTAAAAAAGGACGCTGCAGTCCGACAAACCGGCATTTCTGTCAACGATGGATTACCCCCCAGAGAATGGGATTCCCGCAAGTCTTCCAGCGGCCAGAAAATGACGCATGTCTTGCAGGGGTACCTCGGAGGGGCCGCTGCTCGCTGTCAAAGCTCGACCGATGGGCTTTGCGGTCAGAGGATTGTGCTGCAGCGACAAGGCAGCTTCAGGGTGGGGAGGAAGCTTGTTGCTCCGAGGTGCCCCCGGGGTGGCCTCAGGAGGACCGGGGGGGGAGGGGGCACCTTAAGCTGCTACCCGAGTGTCTTCGGGGACACTGGGGCCGGGGGGGGGGGGGCGACTCATGGTGCCGTGTGCATCGGTGCGCTTTCCCCAGCTCGCTTTGCATCGTGGTCCCAGCCGCCGAGAGGGAAAGGGGCATGTTCTCCAGAGAAAGGGAGGAGCGAGACCCCTCGGTGGCCCCGGAGGGGGGTCCGGGCACCCGGTTGCCCTTGGATGCCACGTTTCCAGCCCCGTCCTAAGAGACCATCTCCTTCCATCACGCGGTTCTGGCCGACCAGAGCAGAACGCGGCTGCACTGGGAGGCTGCTGCTCTGAGACCTGCCGAACCGGGGACACCGGGGGCGGGGGCGCTCTGAGCCCCAAGCGAGAAGGGGCCCAGCACTACTGGGCTGGGGAGCGCCCCGGGCAGGGGTCAGGGGGAGAGAGGCTCGTCCAGCCCCACAAAGTGCCACGAGCGAGGGACCGGACGCCCGAACCCACGGCTCACGCAGGGAAGGCAAGGCGAAGGCCAGGCTGGGATGGGGCCCCTCTGTCCCCCGCACGGTGGCTTTCCCCTCGCCGAGCTGCCGAACTCAAAGCCAAATGGACGGAGGGCGCCGGGTCCTCGCGAGACCCCGTGCCGTGCCCTGGAGCGGCGCCCCATAGCTTAGCGGGGGCAGAAGCAGAAGGAGGCCTGGCGCGGGATGTGTCCCACGCCGCTGACCTCTGGCGTGAGGTTGATCTGGGCGACTCCGGGAGGGTGCATGAGGCGGAAGCTCTGCAGGATGGTGGTGAGAAACAGGAAGAGCTCCATCCGAGCCAGTCCTTCGCCCAGGCAGTTCCTCTTTCCTGTGGCGGAAGGAAGCAGAAGGCATCTCCTGCAGAGTCTCCCACAGAGACGCCGGGAGCGCCACGCTTGCTCAATGGCGTCTCTGTGAGGCCGCCCCCTCTGAGCTGGTGCTGCCCGGACGCTTCGGACTAGAATTCCCAGCGTGTCCCGGAGGAAGCCTGCTCTCCACCCGCAGGACCACGGAGCTGGAGGGGGCCGTGTCTCTGGGAGCCTCCCCTGCCCTCCGCCTCGCTGCAGGAAACCAGCGTTGCAGCGATGCAGCCAGTGCCTCGCTCCAGCGTGGCCTCGACAGACAGATCTCTCAGCTCATTTTTCAAAATATGTGCACACCTGCCCCCGGAGAACGTTTTCCTCCTCGGAGCTGGCATCAGGGCTCATTTACCTGAAGCCGGGCTCGTACTGACCTCAGGAGAAACCTCCTGGCCGTATGAGTGACTAACGACCACGGGAGGTCGTGGCCTGCCCCGCACTTGCAGGGGGCAGCCCCATTCCAGGTGGGAGGCTTGAATTTGGGGGCTGGCCCTGAGCAGGGGTTGGACCTGGGGGCTCTGCTGGCCCCTTCCAACTCTACCATCGGCTGGGCTTTCGATAAGGACCTCATTAACCGGGAATTCTTAGGCTTGCATTTGTGGACTGCCCGAGGCTCCATTATGGCCTCGGAGAACACCCAGCCCCTGGTCGAAAGGGCCTCCGTCTCTGTGGTCCCAAAAAATCAGAACGAATAGGATCAAATCGTGTCAGGAGCAGAGCCAAACATGCATTTCCCTGGATCTGCCGAGCAGAACCTGCAGTGGCCAACGGTCTGAGGACCTCGGAACCGGAGCGTCCCAAGCAGAGGGTTCGCAAGCCGGGCCTACCTGCTGAAAAGGGCATGTCAGCGCTGCTCTTCTTGAAATCTCCGTTTTCGTCCAGGAAATGTTCCGGGTCAAACCGACTTGGATTTTTATATTGCTTGGGGTCGTTCAGAACGGAACTCAGAATGGGGTAAATGGTGGCACCCTGGCGGAAGAAGAGCCCACGATGGAGTTCGTGCTGACCAGACCGGGAACAGCCCTGCTTATGTGGGGGCTGCGCTTGGAACCCCGAGGCTGTGGGTGCCGTGGGTGCTCTCACAAAATGGCTGCCATGGCGGAGGGGGGTGCCCGTTCACAGGATGGGTGGCTGCCAAGGTGGGCCAGGGATTGCCATAAGACACTCAGGCCAAGGCAGGCAAACTGTTTGGTGAGGCGAACAGTAAAGGGATTTTAGCGCGGCTGGGCTGGGGGTCGGACCTCACAACGGACAAATGCCCCAAATAAAGGGCAGGCCTGACCCTTCAGTGGCAACTTGTCACGAAAAACAGTAACGAAAGAGCTTAGGGAACAAAATTAAAAAGCAGGAGGCCTGGCAAGAAGCCCAACGGGCGCCAGGAGGGGCGTCACGCACAAGGGGCAGATACCTTGGGGATGGTGAAGCCAGCTAACTGCACATCCTGTCTCGCCATCCGGACGAATCCCAAGGGGATTAAATCTAGAAATCGCTGCGCTTCGTGGATGGCGGCCTCTGTATAGGGCATCTGTGATCGGTCCTTCATGGCAGGTGGCCGTACCTTCCCTACCACTCGGTCTATTTCCTCATGGATCCTTGCTGGAAGGAAAGAGCAGATCAAGGAAAGGAAGGCAAGGTTTGGCCCTCTCCTTCCTCTTCGAACAAATCCTAGTAGTGTTGACTTTTCCCAGAGATCTTGGCCAAACGACATGTCATGCTGAAATGCCGTCTTTGGCCTGCCCAGCACTGGCAGGGGGACCAACTCTGCCCTTCCCCCAGACCCTGACGAAACCACCGATTGTCTCCACCTGGACACTGGAAGCCCCACTGAAACCAGTGGAAACTGGGCCACCCTGGAGAGGAAAGGATTCTGCCTGATTCAGATGCCCCACCAGCCATGACAACTCTGGTGGGCCAGCTTCGGCAGCGTGGCAGAGTGGTCTTTGCAAGAAAATGCGACCCGCCGGCAGAGCTGCTCAGCCCAGGGTGGTTTGCATGAAGCGGGGAAGGGAAGTGATTGATCTGGTGGTCAAAAGAGAGAGAATTTTGTGAAGGAGGGGCTGCTGCAGAGGCAAATAATTCCAGGGGCTAAGCACCCTCCCATAGCAGCGACGCTCCTGGTCACATAAGGAGCGAAACAGAGTTCATTCCATGCTCTGCAAACCTTCGACTGCAGGATGCTCCAGAAGGACCATGAGGATGTATCGCAGGGTAATACCGGTTGTTTCTGTCCCAGCTAAGAATAGGTCATTAACGGTCATCACCAAATTTTCTCTGGTAAATTCGGTCCTCGGGTTGTGCTTCTCCTGGGAATGGGAAAGGGTTGTCCACCACCACACTGGGAATCAGTCGGCCGCACCTCCACGTGGCGCCCCAGGACGGCTGTCCTTTCCCAGGGTGAGCAGGGAAACGCTCTCCCCTCAGGACAGCTGCTCCAGGGAAGGAGCAGGAGAGAGCAGGCAGAGGGCTGCCCCCCCCCCCCCGTGCCGCAGGGAGAGTCACCTCGGGCCCACGGACCGTGGGTCGTGCACCCATAAACTCCATCTTGCCTGGAGCCCGGGGGCTCAAGCTGCCCTGCTCCCTCCCTCTGGGGCCAGGGACAGCTCTCTTCAGGGACTAAGGCTAGCAGAGAGGAGCACTTTGCAGCTCTCAGGATGGACAGACAGACAGACAGAGAGGTGGGCGGGAGCCCAGCGAGCGTGAGCAGAGCTGCAGCTCCATCAGGGAGCTCCACTCCTCCCCCGGGGCTCACCTGCTCCATCTTTAAGAGGAAGGCGTCCGTGAAGTCCTCCGGAACCGCACTGAGATCCAGGCTGCTCTCGTGCTCCTGCACCTTCCGGTCGGCGAAGGCGAGGACGCCGCGCAGGTGCCGGAAGAAGGTCTGGTGAGGGCCGGGCAGGTAGTCCATGATCCTGGGGAAGATGTTGTACAGCTGAGGGGGAGAGAGAGAGAAGGCGCTTTACGTGGGGCTGCCCTTGAAGACGGTCCGGATGCTTCAATTGGTCCAAAATAGAGCTGCCAGGCTGCTGACGGGGACGGGGCATTACGTTCACATGACTCCAGTCCTCCGTCAGCTTCACTGGCTTCCCATTGAAGTCCGGGCCCAATTCAAGGTGTTGTTGATGACCTTTGGGTCCTGGCTACCTGAAGGAGCGCTTACGTCCATATACGCCCGCCTGCCTGCCCCCTGAGATCTGCGGGAGAGGCCCTTCTCCAGGAACCCTCCATGAAGGAAATTAGGAGGGTGGGTACTCGGAAGAGGGCTTTCTCTGCGGTGGCGCCCAATCTATGGAATTCACTCCCCAAAGAGGTCCGCCTGGCACCGTCATTATTTGTTTTTCGGCGCCAGGCAAAGACCTTTTTATTTAAATGTCATTTTAAGTGTTAACAGTATTTGCTTATTTTATCTGGCCAGGGCGACTTATTTTATATTGATACTTATTTTATATTGTTATTTTTATATTGTTATTTTTCGTATTTTAACTTCATGTTGTGAACCGCCCCGAGGCTTCGGTGAATGGGGCTGCATAGAAATGTTTAAATAAATAAATAAATAAATAAATAAATAAATAAATAAATAACAAACAAACAAACAAATAAATAAATAAATAAATAAAGGCAGGGCGGGCCCTGACAACGGGAACGCAGACTCTCCCGTCAGCCCCCCTGACCCATGGGGACCAAGCTCTACGGGGCCGTTCCTCCGCAGCAGCAGCCCTTCCATCGACCTGGACGGCTGTGCGGGTGCTGCTCCCGCAGGTTGCCATCCTGTGAGGCTAACGAAGCGTCGCGCATTTTTGCTGTATAAGCTTTTGCTGTGTGAGCATTTTTAAAGGAAAAAGGAGAAAACGAGCGAGGCCCGCGACAGGAGAGCCCGGAGGACTGTTGTGGGGTCGTGATGGGTCGGGTGTGACTTTGCGACCAAACGACAGCCCTGCCCCTATGTCGCGTGACTCGGAATCTATAAAACACTCTGCGCATGTTCTAGGAGCTTGCAGTTGGCGGTGAGAGCCACTGCCCGGTCGCACGCTGTCGGAAGTAGCTGCAGGGGGCCCGGGTGGTCTTTCAAGAAAACTGCCGAGGCTCAAGGCGAGGGGCCCTTCCTGGCTGAACCCGGGAATCCTGTCTCACGGGGCCTGGACTGGCTTCGTCCCAAGGCAGCCCTCACCCCGCAAGGCCCGCAGCCCAAAGCCCGTTGGTGCACGGACCCCCAGGCGCCCCCTGCGCCTGGGCCCCTCACCTGAGCTGCACTGGAGCTCTCCAGCAGGAAGCCCTCCTGGAGGAAGTGGAGGATGCGCAGGAGCTCCGGGTCCTGGTAGTCAAAGCGCTCCCCGAAGAGGATGTGAGAGATGACATTGCTGGTGGCGCCGCTGAACAGAGTGGCCGGGTTGCAGGGCTGCCCTGGAAAGGGAGCGGCTCAGCCGGGGCGTCGGGGCCGCTTGGCACCCCTCGGCCCAGGGCGCCAGGTCAGCCCACGTGGGGCCCCTCTGCTCCGGTTTCTCTCTGGCGCGCCTGCTCCCCACCCCCAGGTTGGCTCGTCTCAGACTGGGAGGGCTCAGCTCCTCCAGCTGGTGCTGGGCGGGGACAAGTGGGGGCTGCCCCCGTCCTCCAGGCAACGGCCCCATGGCCTGGGCGCTGCTCCGAACGGGGGGCTGGCCCCTCGCCCCAAGCGAGTGCCTCCAGAGATGTTAGGGGAGACCCCCCAGGGACCCACCCCGGCTGGGGGAGGCTGGGCTGCACTGGGAGGAGACCCCAGTCACCCCCACTGGGGCCGTGGGCTCCCGCTCCCCACACTCCTCGCTGCTGAACACCTGGCTGGCTGGTGGGGGCTCGTTTCCCCTATTTATACCCTGCCTTCTTCCTTTCAAGGAACTTGGAGAACTCTGCCCCTTTTCCTCCTCCTCTCCATCTTAGCCTCAACAACAGCCCTGTGAGGTAGGCCGGCCGAGAGTCTGGGCCTGGCCCAAAGCAGGGACTAGAACCCGGGCCGCCCGAGTCCCGTCCCGCACGCTTCACCCCTGGGCTGCCGTTCCGAGAGCTGCAGTCCAGAGGCCCCTGGGCATGCCCTGCTGCCTGGCAAGGGGCTTCGGTACGTTTTGTCCGTGGCTTTTTCCTAGCGTTGTTTCCTTCTCCTCTAGGTCAGAAATGGGAGCTGCCCATAGAAACTGGCAGAGAAATCCAACGGGATCCAGCGCCAGCTGCCCAGTCCCGTCGATCGCAGCTGGGAGGGGCAACTGGCATTGCACCCCTCCCACGGTCGACAGAAAGGGGCGCCACAGAAGACAGAGGCAGGCAGGTGCTTGATTGGCTCGATTAATGCAGTAATTAAAGCATCAAGGCAATGGACTCATTGGATCAGCGGAAGCAGAGTCGCAAGGGGCCGAGGAGGCGGCACCCTACCTTTCCTGGCCCGGAGCGCCTCCACCAGGTGCTGAGCCTCTTCCTGGATCCGCTCCTCTAGGCTCTTCTTGCCCATCCCGAAGTTCCTCAGGGTGGTGAGGGAGAAGCGGCGGAGCTGCGCCCAGCGCTCCCCGTTGGACATGAAAATACCTGGCGGCCGGCAGGGGAGAGCAAGGGGCCCGGTCAGGAAGTGGTGGCGACCCTTTGAGAGACCGAGTGCCCAAACGGCAACCCAGAACCCACTTATTTATCGCAAACGCCAGCATTGCAAGAACACCTGAAAACTGAGGTTTTCGCTTGAAAAAACAGCTCACAGCCAGTCCAAGCAAATATATACATATCCTTGGCAGCGCACCAACAGGCCATGCGAAAGCTCGGACGAGCGGCGGCTCATGAGTCGCGGCTTGTGATGCCATCGCCTGGCGCCACCACTCCAGTCTGAGCATGCGCATGGCCCCTGTGTGCACTGCTATCCGATGCTGGGGCGACTGGGCTCGCGTGCCAACAGAGGGGGCTCTGTGTGCCCACTGGGCACGCGTGCCACGGGCTGGCCACCACCGGTCTCTCCTCTCGGCCGAGGATTTCAGCGAGTACCGAGTTCTCCGTTGGATTTATTTGATGTGGGGAAGCTGCCTCGGTCGAGGAACTCCTGGCCACGATCCACCAGAACCGTCTTCACCACGTCGTAGCCGTAGAGGATCACGGCCTGGTCCAGGCCAAGGTACACCATGAACACTGGCCCATATTTCTCACTCATCTGCAAGAACAGAGCAGACGGGAGGTGCTGTGGGGAGGGGAGCATCTGTGTGGGGGGATTCGGACGAACGGCCCGAGCTGAGGGAGACAACCTGGGCCAGAGGCGGCTCGGTCAGGAGCCCCTTCCTGGCACACCTGGCCGGACTGCCTCCGCCATCCCAGAATACTCCCAGAATCGGCTCACTCATCAGCCACCCTCCCCTCCCCCACAGCAGGCATGCGCAGGTGACAGAAGGCCAAGCCAGGTGACCCCGCCCCTCCAGTTGGCCTTTCGCAGGCAGAGCAGAGCAAAGGGCCCGCTTTTAGGGCCTGATTGAGGGGCAGGTGAAAATGCCCGCTTCATGTTCCCCCACGGGGCCGTCTCACGTTCTTCGCCCTTCTAGGGGTCCGGGTCCCAGCCGGGACACGGGCGGCCAGAGGCAAGGCAGAGGAGAGGGATGGAGGCCCCAGGGCCGGGCAGCAGGGCTTCAGGCAAGGCAGGCCCAGAAGCAGGGCTGGATGGAAAGGCCAAGTCGCAGCCACGGTGTGGGTCGAGGTCAGGGACCACACGGCTGGATGGGGGCAGAGCAAGGGGATGGGCAGGAACGAGGGCAGGGTCAAGGGCCGGGAGGACAGGGAGAGGTGCAGGTCCCTGGACAGGATAGCAGGGTGGGTGGCACCGCAGGGCAGGGTGCCCGGGACAGCGGGAACCAGATGTGGTGGGACTCAGGTGAGAGGCGGGAGCTGGAGCACACCTTGCAGGGGCCCTGTGGCGAGGCAGGATACCCGGCCGAGGCAGGACTGGGCCAGGCAAGAGGCAGGCAGGGCAGCAAGGCAGCGTGGAAGGCAGGAACCGGGAGCAGACAAGAGGACCTGTGCTGCTGAGGCGACCGGGAGGGTAGGAGACACGGCAGGATGCCGGAGCAGGAGAGGCCAGGCAGGAGGCAGGCCCAGCACCACGCAGGAGGACCTGGGCAGCTGAGGCAGCAGGGCAGGGCAGGGCAGGGCAGGGCAGGAACCGGGAACAAGCCCGCCTCCCGCGTGTGGAGGCCGGTCCTGCAGGGAAGAGCAGGCTCTTCCGTGGCTCTTCCCCAGGACTCCCAGCTCGGGCTCATCGCCGGGCTGAGAGCTGCAGCGGGGCCTGGGACCGGTCCTGCAAGGATGCCGGTGCTGGCCACCAGAGCTGCCCGGATCCTGGCAAGAGGGAGCACCTGCCGAGTGCTGGGAAATCCAGGAATGACTAGACGTAGAAATGAAATTCTCACCCATCCTCCACCTTGCGCACTGCCCTGACAGAGCTGCCCCTGCCAGGCAGCTCAGGAAGCGCTTGGGCGTGCATGAACTGCACAAAGACGCACGATACGAGGAGGAGGGAAGGGCACGTGGGCACCGATCCAGGCCTTAGGAAATGTCTGCGAACTGTTCGGCCCGGTGGAGCAGAAGGACCCGTTGCTGGCCGAGAGCTTCCCCAGCGTTTCGCTGACTCAGGCAGCCGCAAGGCAAGCCCTGCATAACACGGAGCCAAGAGGAACGCCACCCGCGCGACAACGCCAAAGAGCCACTCCTGGGGTGCCTGCCACGCTGAAGCAGCCGGAGCTGTCCGTGCATGTTCAGGCGGCTCCAGGATCGCTCAGCGAAGGTTCACGAGATCACGGATTGCTCCTCTGGGCGTTTAGACAGAACAGGTCTGTAACTGGAGCTGCACGCATTTTCTGTCTAAATATGGATAAGTCTGAGTCAAACCACAGACAGACTGACCGACCACCGCCCCGCACCAGCCAGAGTCCTTGCAGAAGGCTCTTCCCCCATGCAGAGGACGATACGAGGAGGAGGGGAAGCTGCTAAAATCAAGAAGACACAAGAGAAAAGAGCTGGAACTGACATGGGATTCACGCCCAGACCTTTCAGCGTTAAGCAGCCAAAGCCCAGGGCCAGAATGGACGGGTACCAGTGCCAGACTCTCCCCCATCCTGTTCTCCTCATTCAGGCTGCAGCCCCGGCCGTGAACGACCTTGGCACATTTTGCAAAATCCTCATCCAACGAAACCCCCCCAGCTCTGACGCCCCAGTGTGGGGCCTGACCGTGGGGCTGGGAACGGCTTCGCAGAAGTTACCTTCTTCAGGCGTTCTGCCATGTTCCGGCTCCCCAACTGGAGCAGGTTTCCGATGAGCGGCAGGGGCAGAGGGCCGGGGGGGAAGTTTCTCCTCTTGGCCTCGATCCTCTTCCATGCCACCAGGAAGAGCAGGAACATGAACAAGAAGAGAGTGGCGCTCGCCAGGAGCTCCATCGCTGCACAGCCTCTTCCTCGCAAGCTGCAGAGGAGTGCAGTCTATTCGGCTTCGCCCAGCACCACAATTCGTGTCAATATTAGGTGAGATTAAAGTCCGGCTCCGCCTGCTCGATGGCGCTTCTGCGATCCCTGGACTGCAGCCAGGCCTTCCAGGGCCGACCCTACGTGCCGTGCTACAGCTTGTCCTGTGGGGCAGCTGAGCATGCGCTGAGGTCCAGCTGCCAAAGGACACCAGTGTGGAGGCGGGGATGTGCGAGGGGTCCGGCTGGGGAGGAGAACCTGCCTGATTCCGGGGCTCGGCTCCCTGGATCCGGGTCCGCTTGGCAGCCACCCACCTTCCGAGTCCCCAGCAAACGTGCCCAGTGTTTGCAGGGCGAACGCCAGGAATCAGGCCCCACGTGGGTGCGAGGACGCCCTCCTTCTGCTCCCAGGGCGGCCGCTTCCAGGCAGCGGGGAGGGCTGTGCCGGGGCTCCCGGGAGCAGCAAGAGCAAGCGGCACCCCCTGTGCCACCTCCCGCTGCCCCATGCACAGCTGCCCCGACAAGGAAGGCTGCCGCCTGTGGGACTTCGGGGCTTCCTCCCGGCTCAGCTCGCTCTGCAGGACCCGGCCAAGCACGAGAGGAAGGAGGGTGCTAGAGAGACGGGTTCCAGTGGGGTTCACCCCAGCCCTGCACGGAAGGAGGCATGTAGGCTGGGGGTGGGGGAGCACTGGGGGAGGGCAGCCCTGGGGGAGGGCAGCGCCACGGAGTGCTCCACAGACCGGCTCCAGAGAGTTGCATAGGAGTTGAGTTTGGCCTGCCATTGAACCAGGGTGGTTGCTGAAATGTGGGTTACCATGTTGTCTGAACCCAACCATGTAAACAAACCAGGTTAACCATGGACAACCCAGCAAGAAAACCCATAGGTTTCGGTTGGGTTGTGAGCCCTGGTGAACAAGCCATCTTCAAATAGCCAACAGGGGCCGCTCTCCATCTGTCTGTCCTTTCAACAGGCCTAGTGTCATGGACTGGTTTCATTTTCTTCAAATCGTACTTTAATTTTGTGATACTTCACTGTTCTGTTCTTATACCTGTTTTTTGTTTATTTGCTGTTGATCGGCATGGAGAGATCTGAGTGAAATGGAGCCAGCGAGTCCGTTTCATCCAAGAGCGCCTGGAGTCGCCCAGCCAACACCTGAGCACCTCGCCCAGGAAGGAAACATTAGCCATTGGCCTAGAAGTAATTGCATCCCTCGCGTCCAGGTTGGGCTTCTGGCGGGTGGCAAAATCATGGCCCCCTTTAGAGGGGCCGGCGCGGCTCCTTCTCTCAGCGACGCGCTTACAGCCTCCTGGCCCAGGTGCGGATCCACCGTAAGTTCTTCCAGGTAACCATGACGGCAAGTGCTGAGCGTACAGGTGGCGGGCCAGGCCAGGCCAAGCACCTTGCCCACATCCTCAGGGTGTAATAGCTGAAACTTATCCAGCAAATTGGACCGGTCGGTGCGCCTGGCGTTGAAGGTACTGGAT